CATTAAGACTGCCAAAACTCAGAGCCCACTAGCCTCAATCGGCAGCTAGGAAAAAAGAAAAAAAAAAGAGCTTAGAGTATCATCGATCCTAGGAAGCTACAAGAGAGCAGCTTTACCTCACAGCTTCCCCCAAGGGCAGCTTCCCCTGGCCATATGCTTATGGATAACACCACTGCACCTTCCTAGGGCAACAGAGATGATTAAGGGATTGGAGCACCTCCCTTACGAGGGAAGGCTCAAGGAGCTGGGGCTCTTTAGCCTGGACAAGCAAAGATTGGGGAGAAGATCTCCAAAGAGATCTCTGGGGAGAAGATCTCCGAAGAAGGGAGATCTTATTTATGTTTGTAAGTATCTAAAGGGTGAGTTGAAGGATGTTGGAGCCGGATTCTTTTCAGTGGTTCCCAGGGACAGGACGAGGGGCAACGGGCTCAAGCTGGAACATAGAAAGTTCCATTCAAATATGAGAAAAAACTTCTTTGGGATGAGGGTGACAGAGCCCTGGAAGAGGCTGCCCAGGGAGGGTGTGGAGTCCCCTTCTCTGGAGATCTTCAAGACCCGCCTGGATGCCGTCCTGAGTGATGTGCTCTGGGCAGCCCTGCTTTGGCAGGGGAGTTGGACCAGATGATCTCTAGAGGTCCCTTCCAACTCTGACAATTCTGTGATTCTCTTAGACTTACTTGCTCACGCTCCCTTACTCACATGAAATGGGATGGCAACAGAAAGAGAGACAGAGACTAAATGGATGAACGTTGTGGAACATGCATGGTGTATCTTGTAGTACATTCTGCTCTAGTAGAAATTTTAACTTTTTACTAGCCTCCTACGACGTGTCCATTAACTGCTCTGAGGTGTACACATTCCCACCACCCCGGAGACTTCCTGATATCACTCCCTGGCAGTTCTCCTCTGCCCCACCTCTGCAGGAGGGAGCTTCCTTCCCAGCCATGATAGCAGCACCTGGAAATACCAGGTGAGGTCACCTTCAAAGGCTGTCCAACCCAACTTGGAGATGAAGCAGATTGGGAGCAACCCATTAACGCAACTTGGTAAAGGTGTGGGAATGAACAAATGACCAATAACGGTCGCTTCCTGAATCACTGGGATTTAATCTGTCAGTAAAAGTTTCCCTCTGCCTTAGGAAGTTGGAGGGGTTTTTTTAATTAATAAATAAAAAAACTCATCCTGACCAACTCAGATTTTAAAATTTGTGGGACTAGAAAGTTGTTTACACTTGTACTGTCATAAAAACGTTCAAGACACCCGTATTCTTCCTCTGCTCAATGCTAACTACTCTCATTCCAACAGAGCCAATGTCAACAAAGACTGGAAGGCTTAGCGACAGTAAAGATTTATGATTTGGTTCTTGAGGAGTCAAAAAAGGACATCATGCTCCAAGTATTAATTTATGTCCAAATAAACACCCTCAGCAGCAGCATGATTTGGAATGACTGCACACCGACCAGAGAAGGCATCACACTCTATCAGGCAACCCAGCAAGCGTAAAGGACCAAAACAGAGTTTAGGTTCAGTTTCTCCTTTAGTACCTTACTTTAGAAATCAATTTTGAAAATTAAGAAAGGGCTAGACAAACATAACAACGACGAAAAGCAAAGCAAGAAGTGGAATTACTGAAGCCACGCTTCTTTTCGGTATGTTTCAATCACATGGCATTTAACCAGTAATTTAACTTGCTAGTTCAATGGAAAGTAGCAAAACTGAATTACAGTTTACTGGAACACTTTTTAAAACTCAGATTTATGCCTTGAATTTGAAAAAAAGAAAGAAAAGCACAAGCTCCAGCTCCAATTACACTGCACATACGTTGCAGCTAAAGAAAGACTTAAGTTTCATACATCTTCCCTGAAGTATAAACCGAAGATGTACTGTAGAAATTCCAGATAACTACACAGTCCTAACAAACAGGTTTTGGTAACACGAAGTGACACATTTCAGTACATATTCATAAGGGTTGGGGGTTATTATTGGGCTGTAATTGCAGTTGTTCTAACACCTAATAAGCCATGGCTGGAAAAACAAAGGCAGGTTAATTTGTGATTTCCTCTACTCATTCAGAGGCAAATTAAGTGTCAAACAGCTAATACAGAACATATTTCATTTTATGAGATTTTAATTTAATTCTGCGCCATATCGTTGATGCCTTAATGTAGGGTGGTTTATCTAAGAAGAGGAGCAATTTATAAACCTCTTTCAATTGAAATCTTTAATGATAGGATACGATAGCATAATTACAGCAATGCCTGCTAGTCCTACTATACATAAGCATCTGTCAGCAATTCCATCATGAACATAAACCCTTATTTTAGGGGTTTATAACTCAGTTATAAAATTCGGCTCCAGGCTGAAATTTGGGATATGACAGTTCTGCCCATCAGCAATTAAACTGCACGTATAAATACATATACATCTGTAGAGCTCTAAGTACGTAAGAGCCCTGTAACACCTTAAAAATTTCTCCTTTCTTTTTCTTTTTCACTTGGCCATTGTTCAACGTTATGGGCACACATTGTGGGTATCATGCGGACAAGGCCTTCTCCACATTTTCTCTGCACTTGTATTTAGACCTAAACTAATTCCACTATGGCCTGACAGGTTCTGGAAGACATTTCAAGGAGCTTGGATAACCAGAATGATGCCAATTTTTTGCCTCTTTTTTTTTTGTTTATATTACACACACACACACTTCTGAGAGTATTACGAAGCTGAGGACAAAAACACTCCTACAATGAAGTCAGTGAAAAAACTGTGGGTAAACATCTGTCTCTCAACCAGTGTTCTTGCCCTTTTCTCTCAGAATTCTCAAATAACTTCTCAGATCCAGTTCTTTTTTCTTCTTTTAATTTTTTTAAAGGATATTATGCACTTGTGCTTTTACATAATGGATTATGCACTTCAAGTAATGGCTCCAAACCATCTCAAATCTAACACTCCTAAGTGATACTCGCATCAGGCTCTGTAAAACCTGCAAGAAAACTGCTGGGTGTATACCCCATACACACATTAAAAAGTATTCCTGAAAACTGCAAAAGCATGACAAACCATAACATCCCCAAGGAAGCTGTTGGACTCCAACAGATTATTGTTTTTTAAGTTGCTTAACTGCATATTTGCATTTAATTACACTGACCACCACGGCTCCGAGGGTCCACTACAACTCATCATTTCAAGAGGGAGGAAGATTCAATAGAAGTCACTGGAAAAACAAACACTGGAAAAACTCAAAACAAGGAAGTTTTGAGTTTAAAGCTTGGGCTGAGATCAGAGTTATTACTGGAGCAGCTGCCTGCAGTCGTATCACATCAGGCTAAGATCTCCTTGTCTCCAACAAGCCTCTGCAGAGCCCGGCTGAATCACGGCTGCACCGCGGGGTATGGCGGGGAGCAGGGGGGGGGCAGCGCCTTTTGGTAGAAGGGGCACTGATTTCAGTGTCAGAAGGGACTACCACTGAAATGAGGCACGAAGCAGGCATTTCCCACATCTTTTGAGGCTCCTCCAAAAATCCTGGCACTTTTAGGGATGTAGGCTGCCAGTCCCCATTCCCCACTGTCACCCGGAGCGGGAAACGGTGCTTTCCCCACCCAAAAGCCCTGCCCCGTGGGCACAGGGTGGCACAGTACGGGCTGCAAAATCACTGCACTGCAAAACTGAGGATGACCACGGAATGACTCCGTCTGAGCCTGCCACCTTCAGCCTGCAACAGCTTTTAGCAGCAAATTTAAGCATGTATTCGAGTATATTTTACGATGCGGTTGCCTGTGGTGTAAATAGTGATGCATCAGAGGAAGTCTGAGGAATAAATCACAAGTTTCCGTACTCTCTCTTTCTATAAATACCCACTTTTCCTCTAATGCCCAAGAAGACTGCAACACAGATTTATTACTTACCTCCAGGCAAATTTGCTCTGAAATTACAATTCAGTAATAGAAGACTGACCCAAAAAAACTGTTAGTAAAATATTGCGTGTGTACTTGGGCATGTAGTTAGGATTGTTAATATCAATTAATTCTGCTCACAGAGGAGGACTTGTTTTAAAACAACTTCATTTTTCTTCTGCATATATGTAATTACACAGCTGTAACTAATAGCCATAGCAAAGCAATCTGCCATCTAAACAACTAGCATTATTCTTCAAAGTATTGCTTGTGCTTTTCTTCTTGTATTTTCTCAGTATGAGAGGGGATTAGTAGATATGATTAAATGTATATATCAAGCCTTTTAGTGAAGTACCAAATGGAGCTTTTTGGCTCCATTTTCAATGGTATATAACAGTTTTGCTGGACACAACAACTGTTTTATTCTGCAACGCTGATTTCTATCTCCCCATATAAAATAAGATAATATTTATTTCCACAGGATTTCACCACTGCCACCCTTTTCTAATCCACGTTATCACTGGTATTCATTTCTTTTATCTTTGTGTAAACCATGTGCTCTATCACATTTGCCATTTTGTTTGGGTGACATTCCCATCAATCAACCGATTGCCTGTGCGTGCACACAACAGGAACTATGAAAATTTACCAAAAATTTCATTATGCTTCATAGCAGTCACTGGAGAAAAAAAAAATAAAAAATAACAAAAGCTTTGGAATGAGAGGAAATTTTAGCTATGAAAAATCCCAAGCCTAATACAGACAAAATAGGTGTTTTGTCTGGCTGTATTTCACCGGGTTCAGCGCTTTTTAATTTAGCATTTACAGAGCGGCAGCAAAACACAGAGGGAACACTTGCCAGCCACCTATTCCTGAATTCCTCAGGAATTCCCAGGAATAGGTGGTTATTAGCCACAGGAATTCCTCAGGCACCAGCCTGGGTTTTGCATCACGAATGGATAAACCTCAGCGCTTCCCAAAAGTAAATCTCACCTTTTGGGGAGACTGGCAAAGCACCCCAAGCACGGGGCTTTAAGCACTGCAAAGGGTGGGATATTTGCCCGTTCTTCCAGGCGGTCAAAACGAGGGGAAATCATACAGAATACTCACACATGCAGAGGAGGAATGGGAGATGGTTCGTAATGGTAGCGTCCCTCATGATGTCTGGCATCAATTGGTACAGGAGGGTGGAATGCTGGAAAGAGGTGAGGCGGATCTGGAAAAAACAAGCGAGGTTCCTGGATCTGAGTATCTCCAACCACTCTTTAAAAAAAAACAACATTCACAAAGACGGAACAGATATCGAAAAGCACGTGTCACCAGCACTACGACTTACGGGTCACATCCTCCTTCCCTGCTGCAGGTCTGTCTGAGAGGAGAGTTTGGCCCAGAGTGAGTGTTTGCATGAATATGTATTTACTAATTTTAATATTCTCTTTTTATAGCTTAAATGGGAAGGGACGTAAAGAAGTCTTTAATAAATAATTACGGGCCCATATGTGAAGTGTCAGATCAAAAGGACCATCAAGCCTTTCATAAGCATTCCCCATTTATTTATTTTTTATTAAAAAAAAAAAAAAATCATCGCAGGACAAAAAGCCTAAGCAGAGAATACAATACAATTTAAAAGGTATATCCTGGGAGATGTACACACAATCCTACAAGGGAAAAGGAAGCAGCATGCTGGGTGAGAAATGGTTATCAGGAGTAAATCAGGCAATGGAGTTGAAAGGGAAAGGTGGTACCGAAGATGCTTAACTCATCACACCCATGGCCGCAGCCGGGGGAACGTGCCCGAGGACAGGGGGGCTCATTTCATATACTGCCCTTAAAAGAAGGGTGCTTTCTTTGTCCCCACGGCTGGAGACCCAGGGGATGCAGGGCTGCATCCCTGCCCCTTCTCCTCCCGGGCTTTCACAGGACAGGGGGGGGTTTTGCAGCTGCCAGGGCTCCCGTTCCCTGCTGTTTCCTCAGAGCCCGGGCGACCGGGCTGACAAAAGGGGGAATGTGCCCCCGCCGCCCCCACAGGCTCTCTGCACCGAGGGGACAAGCATCAGCTCCATCCAGCAGCTCCACAACTGCTTCTGCAGGGGGATGGTCTCCCCCCCCAAGGCTTTGGAGGACACAGAATCACAGAATCACACAGAATCTTCTAGGTTGGAAGGGACCTTAAAGATCATCTTGTCCAACCATCAACCTAACTGACAAAAATAGACACCCACACAACAAACAAGGAACACCATCACTAAACCATACCTCCCAGCACTACATCAACCCGTCTTTTGAACA